AGGTAGTTTTCTGCCATCTAGGGTGCACCTGATCTTCAATTAATGATTTTATGAATTTCAAATTGCATCAGATCTGCACATTATAAGAACTGACAGATGGCTTGCCAGCATTTATATGTGCAGGATGCTGCCTTCTAAGAGATGAGTATGCCAGGAGACTGGTAATCTGTTCTTCAGCTCAGAAGAATGGCATAAATCAAGCAGAAGATTGAGAATGTATACTAAAATATTCCTTGCTACAAATTCAAGAATACCTTTTGGAGCAGTGCAGTGGATTTACACTCATGATTCACAGATTTATTCCTTGCAATCAAATTGAGCATTTTGGTTTTTGAGGTAACGTAGCCATGTAGTAGAAACTAGGGGCAAGTACATCTTTACTCTACCATGGCATTTAAATTTCCAGACTGAGTGCTACAGTGTCCTGGCTATTTTTAAAGAATGCTCTATTTGTTTTAACTAAGAAATCTATTGCTGCAGTGGATTTCATAGAGGCACAGACTCAGCCAAATATGGGATTATTGTGCCAAGAAACTGAGAGCCATAGCATCAGCTCAGAGGCAATATCATCCAGAAGATGGGCAATTCTTTTCCTTGTTGACACCAAAGATCCATGATGAATAGATTGCACTCCCTGCTCCTTAGTTCTTGAGAGGGAGATTGGATGGAAATTCCATGAACTGGTTCTTGTAGAATTTTCTGGATCTCTTGTATAAAATCGTAACTCTACTAGGACTCGCCCTCCCCATTTGATCTTAGTTCTTTTTTCAACACTTTGCTAGTGGTTAATAATGACTTATGCCAATAAGATTAAAATTACAATAAATAATTCTGTACTAGAAATACATCAGACTCCAGACACTGTATTTTGTCAGGAGGCAGAAGAGTGAATAAACCTGTGTATATGCAGTTTCCAGTCTTCTTTTAAACATTCCAGATGGAGTGATTGAAACCTTTTAATCCCCACAGGGAAATTATTTATTTACATCAGTGCTCTACATAACAGACACAGAAATGCTGAATAGAGGGAGAGGGGTCATTGTGACACAGTGTAAGTGTAACCCACACACCTAGAGTGTGTCTAGACTACATGCCTCCTTCGACGGAGGCATGTAGATTAGCCAGATCGGAAAAGGGAAATGAAGCCGCGATTAAAATAATCGCGGCTTCATTTAAATTTAAATGGCTGCCCCGATCTGCCGATCAGCTGTTTGTCGGCAGATCGGGGCAGTCTGGACGCGATGCGCCGACAAAGAAGCCTTTCTTCATCGGCACAGGTAAGCCTCGTGAAACCAGGTTTACCTGTGCCGATGAAGAAAGGCTTCTTTGTCGGCGCATCGCGTCCAGACTGCCCCGATCTGCCGACAAACAGCTGATCGGCAGATCGGGGCAGCCATTTAAATTTAAATGAAGCCGCGATTATTTTAATCGCGGCTTCATTTCCCTTTTCCGATCTGGCTAATCTACATGCCTCCGTCGAAGGAGGCATGTAGTCTAGACACACTCTAGGACTGCAGAAGGGCTGGGAGCCAGCTGGCTTTTAGCTCAGAGGGTAGAGGCTCCTATACTCAGCCCCAGAGCTCCCAGGTTCAAATCTACCTAGTGGCAGTTACATAAGTACCCTAAAGCTGACTCACCACTCTGTGTACTGTGGAAGTGTCCCCACCTGTGATAACTTGATGAGGTGATAGTTTAGATACTCAGTGATTAAATTATCTAGGTTACTCAGTTTATCATCAGGAAACAGTTAAAAGAGAAGCAGGAGTGAGGGGAGAAATGACCAGAGGAGTGGAAGATTGCAGAGAGCAGTATGACTTACCCACCTTCTATCCTGTGCTTTGGTAGCTGGTAAATAGGTGAAAAGCCTTACGCTGCAGGAAATATTTATAAAGCATGCTGTAAATAAAGCACTTGGTGTGCATGAAGGCTCTAATAAGAATCCAGGATGAGGGATCCCTGTCCTCTGGCAATCATTATAGAGATGAGCTTTAAGTTAACATTATAAGACATGCCACTGTGAATGCCTTCAGCATTGAAGTAATTATTTTCTCACAATTGACATACTGTAATGCAAATTGAACAGGTTGTATTTTTTTAAAAAGATGCTAAGAGAGGTCTGAATTAAAACTCACATAAAGCAGATGAATGCTATAGTGAGGAAACAAAATTGAAGTTCTAAAAGGCCTGATTTTCCTCATCAGTTGCATCATTCAATGTTCTAGTTTTCCAACTGGTTAGAAACACATACTATCCTAGATATATTTCTCCTATCTGCTGTGGAGACTCCAAAAGTCCACCCCATAAAGTCTTCCATGCTGTCTCTTCCTTTTAATGTCTTCTAGTGAGGAGCATATTACTCAATATATTAACTATCCCCCAACTCCTTCTCAGTAGTGCTCTGTTTAAATTGGCTAGTTCTCTACTAAGCCCATCTCTCCGGATCAGACCTCCCAATGTTTGCTCATCCTGTCTTGAATCTTTGAGTGGACTGCAATGAAAAGGTCACTACCTCCAGCCCTTAACATGTGTCTTCTGGAAGGTGGGGCATGGCTGCCCATCCAAAAAATGTTATTGTCATACTGCTGAAAACCCACTGGCTGTGTCTAGACTGGCCAGTTTTTCCGGAAAATGAGCCACTTTTCCGGAAAAACTTGCCAGCCGTCTACACTGGCCGCTTGAATTTCAGCAAAAGCACTGACGATCGCATGTAAAATTGTCAGTGTTTTTGCAGAAATACTATGCTGCTCCTGTTCGGGCAAAAGTCCTTTTGCGCAAAACTTTTGTGCAAAAGGGCCAGTGTAGACAGCCCAGATTTGTTTTCCGCAAAAAAGCCCTGATCGGAAAAATGGCGATCGGGGCTTTTTTGCGGAAAAGCGTCCGTGCCAATCTAGACACTCTGTTCCGAAAATGCTTTTAATGGAAAACTTTTCTGTTAAAAGCATTTCCGGAAAAATCATGCCAGTCTAGACGTAGCCACTGAGTTTGTGGGACTCAACGTGTCTATGATTTTCTTAACCAGGAGCTAAAATCTTCCCAGTAGCTTTGCAAGTCATTCAGGTTGCCTAAAAAGGGGGATTCCCAAAAAGAGATCTCTGATACATTGGGGTGAAAGAAATAGCTTCACCATTGATGTCTCTGCCCACAATTTCAATATGCAAAGATCTAGGGAATTGGGGTAGGGGAGTGCTTGACTCCAAATGCTAAGGGTGGCACTGCAATCTAGCAAGCACTTCCTATCCCTCTCCAGAAAATCTGCTCAGATAAGGATTGGATTCAGAGTCAATTATTTTTGGGCAGCAATTAGAAAAAAAATCTCTATTTGGGAAGCTATTTGGCTTATTTTAGGATATTTTATGCCAATCTCATCTCCTTGGTTTACTCGAAACACCTGTAAACTGTATTATGTATATGTGTGATGAATGTACAAGGGGAGTTTGGTCCTAGCAATTTTGCCCCTTGTTTCAGTAAAACTGAAGAAGAGTTAAGGCTTTCTGAAGAGTTTGTGCTTTTCTGAGAGGTTTAATATTGATGAAAAGCAAAGGAAGTGAGACAAAATGGGGTGCCCGCTAAAATTCCCCATGCTTTGTTTATGGTGGTGCTGCAGACTTGTTCTGACACTACCTAATTATTTTACACACTAAGAACTTAATTATTCACTGTTATGTTTGCAGTACTAGTTGCAGCATGCTGGGCCTTTCCAAGATTAGATAAAAAAATGCTCTTTGCCCTGAATAATGTACAAACATGCCTATTTGAGCATGCATTCATTTATTTTGAACTCTCACTGAATTAAGCAGGAGTTTCAGACCACTGGGTGTGGGTTAGAATGGAAAGGAAAGGAAAAACAGGAAGTCTAACGGAAGTTGGAGCTAACTTATTTTTGCTACATCATATTTCATGTACATAACATGAATTTTGGAGAAATCTGTTTGATAAGCGTTTTTCTCCATGTGAGATGTTGCAGACCAAATGAAAAATGAACACCCTCAAAATCTATTTCTAGCAAATTGATGAAATTATTCTTTTCTGCGCACTATGTTTTCAGGCGGCTTATTCAATGTGCTTTTATTCTTGAAGGTAAAAGGAAAGCAAATAAATAATGTCAAAGTTTGAAGCAGGAGTGGTGAACTTACGGCCCATGAAGCTGAGGCACAAACCATTAGCAGCGTTCCAGCTGTGTGAAGGCTCTGTGATTAGAATTCCAGCTCCCAGCTCTGGGAAGGTGGGAGCCCCCCGTGCCTTGCGAGCTCAATCAGAGTCAGGAGGGAGGAAGCAGCTCTCTACCCTGATCCCAGCAGGCACTGCCCTTCCATTGCTTCCATTGGCTGGAAATCATGGCCAATGGCAGCAGCAGGGTGTGATACCTACAGGGAGCACTTCCCTGCAGTACACAAAGCCACATGGAGCACCTGTGCCCCCTGCAAGCTGTGTCAGGTGGACACGCCATCCCTTGCCCCTTCCTATAATCCCTCATCGAGACCCTATACCCTCCTGCCCAGATCTCACACCTCCAGCCCACTCCTACACCCTCTCTCCTGCCCAGACCCCGCACCCTCAGCCCCAGCCTGCTCCCCAGCAGACCCTTCCTGCATAGTGAACCCCTTATTTTTGACCCACCCAAGAGCCTAGGGGTCCCCTCAAAATCCACTAGTCCCACACCCCCCAGAAGAATTAATGAAGCTCTGGGCTTGAGTCTTAGTGCCTACCCACCTCCTCGCCCTTTGACATTCCTCTGCCCCATGGGGCTTGTTCTGGAGCTTGAATGGAGTAAGGAGAGTATCTTTTTCTCCCCACTTCTTAGCTGAGGAGCATATCTGTGAGGTGGGTTTTTTTCTTTTTCTCCTTCACACTTGTGTGTGATTCCCCAAATGACTTTTCTGTTGGCCAGTGGCTCTAACCCAAAAAGATTCCTCTTCCCTGTTTAAAATATACTACCAATGGTCTTTATATTTTTGTTATTGCATGTATAAATAACTAATCAGATGTGGTCCTGACACTAGGTAAAACTCCAGAGGAAGCTGCAGATTCTGCTCTTCACTATATGGAGAAGAGAGTCCATGGACGGGGTGGAGTTATAGTTATCAGCAAAACCGGAGAATGGACCGCACGATTCACCACCAAGCGGATGGCATGGGCAGGAATAAAGGAAGGCATATTAACATATGGCCTAAATCCAGGAGAAACCATTCAAGAAATACTTAAACCCCTCAAATAAACTTTTTTTATAGAGGGCACTTTCACACTGATGTTAATAGTTTGTGCTACATGATTTTTTTTTAAGGAATATATAGCTGGCATCTTGGGAGTACTTATTCATCAAAATTAATAAAACATGACTTTATTGCCTTTAATAAAGATAGGTTTCCAAAAGTATTGTATTTAGCTATTTCAGAACTTTGAAAATATGCTGAAGGGAAGTGATGTTTCATGCAAAATTTATTATCAACTGCAGTGAACAAACAAAAAATATCTGTATGGTACTGCTATGTTTCAATCACAACATCTATATCTTAACCCTGGTCTACACCAGGGGTCTCCAAACTTTTCAGCCCGAGGGCCGCATTAACTATCAAACAGCAGTTCGGGGGCCGACTACACACTTGAGGTCCAAATAAAAAACAATCAAAACATGGATGTTGTTTTTAATTATTTATTTAATATTATTTTATTCAGTTATTATTTAATAACACATTGATACACTACACATGAACACCTGTGAAATATCTCCCCTTAGGTCGAATTTATGAGCAAAGTATCCACACTACCAAGCCAATTATTTTGAAATAACAGACTGCTTATTTTGAAATATGTACTCCTGTTTTCCTCGGAGAATAATGCTAATTTCAAAATAGTTATTTCAAAATAATACTAAGCTGGATGCTTTAGTGCTGCAGTTTTGAAATAACTTCTCCCCAGAGTAATTTGAACTAATTACTTCCCAGTGCTTCCTGAGGCTCTAAGCCGAGGGAAGTGCATCCACATTAACGAAGCCTGGCTTGGACTAATTTTGAGGCTTCCCCATAGTGGGGACAAGCTATTTTGATTTTGTAAAATTGGGAAATAAGTTGAATGTAGTTATTTTGAAATAATTTACTAGCATAACTATAACCCATTCTGAGGTTCAAGTCTGCCCACCTGAAATTGGATTTGAACTTAGAACCTCAGTATAAGAGTTGCTGAAGCTTAAGCTATAAAGCCAGCTGGCTCTCATCTTTGGCTGTAGAGCGCACTCATTCTTATCTCTCACTGTAAGTGATCTAAGTGCTGCTATATGGGACAATAAACCACACCCATTAGGTGTGTGGGTTACATAGACATGCCTTAACTTCCTGAAATAACCCATCTGAAATGCATGTGATTTTTTCATTGCTTGCTAAATGTATCATCTGTTGATTTATTGTTCATTTTTAGAAAATTTTAATGTGATGGAAAAGTTGAGCTTTCAGTGAAGTTTATCCAACTAAGTTTTAAGAACAGTCACACAATTATATTTTAATATATTGTTCTGAATACAGAAAGCAGTGGATTATGCCTTCCAAAATAAGATATAGACATTATTTTCTTCTACATTTGAAAGTTTGAAATGCTTTATTTGTTAAAGCACCTCTATGGTCCTTTCATTAATTCCTCCCAAATCTGAAATATGCACTTACCATTAAACAGTCCAAAACAAACTGCTTTCTGTTAAAAACAGCATTGCTCTCTTCAAGCGATCAAAACCAGGTGGGAATAAAATCTGTTCCACATAATGTACAAAATTCAGCATTTAAAAATCAGCTTCACACATATAATTGCATCAATGCCTCCTTATAACAAACCTTCATGGGAGAGAGAGCAGAGCACAGACATTGGATTTGTTCAAAGGATTCATCTCACATAAAATTTCCCTTCAGTCTGTGCAATCTATATATCATCACAACCCGCACTGCAGTGTTTTTTTCACTGAAGAATTATCCATCTTACCCAGTAATGAGGTGCACTTTCACAAGTATATTGTATAGATTTTTGTAACAGTACTTCACTGGTTTTGTAATCTTTTTTTATTTTCCTGAGAGCAGTCACCCTTTTACATAAATGTTCAATACTTTGGACCACAGAAATGTTATGTGGCATTCAAGTTTCTTCTATGATCCTCCATCCTGTCAAGTTTGAAATGCTTCCATATCTTAATGCTTCTGGCTCACCTCTCTAAAGATATTTCTATAAACACTGACAGATATGATAAAAAATACATTTTGATGCAGTCTGGGATCACCTAAAAATAAATTAGCAATCAGATGCTGTCATTTGTGCTTTAGTTTTTTTCCTAAATTGAATATCTTTGATGTCAGCTGCAGCAATATAGAGGTGAGTTATTCAAATAATCTTGGACAGTAGCAAACACAAATTGAGTTTGTGATGTTTTATTTTAGCAACAGCAACTTCAAAGATATAGAGGAGGCAAGCAATTGAAGGGTGAGGACACTGGCTGTGTACAACAAAGACACATAACACAACTTCATGTTGTGCTCACATTTTATAAAAACTTTTTCCTAAAACATTTTGCAAAATTAAACATGTTAATACAATTTTAAAAATAAGTTAACGGCAGAGTGAAATAAATTAAGAGGCATAAATAATAGAAAAACAACAAGGAATCCTCTGGCACCTAGAAGACTAAGAAATTTATTTGGGTATAAGCTTTCATTGACAGGAGCCCACTACATCAGATTCATGATATGAAACTTTGGTTTGGAAGGGATATATTTACGTATATAAAAAGATGGGAGTGTTACATTACCATGTGGAAGGCCAGTGCTAACAAGGCCAATTCAATCAGGCCATGTCTAAACTAGGAAATTATTTCAAAATGGCTACATTTGATGTAAGAACTCCCAATTTAACAAATTCGAATTCATGTGTACTCACAATGAGAAAGCATCAAAATTAGCCTGAAGCAGGCTCAGTTAATGTGGATGTGCTACCACAGACTTAGAACTCCAGGAAGCACTCTTAGGAACTTCAGGAGGCCTCCTGGAGGCCAATAAATTCAAATAAGTAGCACCTGAGCATCCACACTAATGTTGTTTCAAAATTACTATTTCAGAATTAGGGTTACCCCTTGTGAAAAGATGCACACAGTATCTTTTTTAGGGGACCAAGGCAATACTCCGCATTTATTGAAAGTACAACATGAAAAGCAGCATACACACACACACATCCTGTGGATTGTATAGCTACCAGTCTGTCATGGTCAAATCAGTCTACTGGGTAGGCAAGATTGACCAAGTGAGGAGTTGGGGTTTATCTATCACAATTTCAAGTCTCCTCTGAGGCTTGTCTTGCAAGACCAAACCCAGAGTCTAATGGCAAAAGCACCCTTGTTTGTGTCTCACTCTTAGGGTATGTCTACACTGCATTCCTCTTTCGAGAGAGGAATGCAAATACAGAAGAACGAAATTGCAAATGAAGCATGGGTTTGAATTTCCCATGCTTCATTTGCATAATTGCATCGGAGCGCTATTTTGAAATACCCTATTTTGAAAAAAGAAATGCAGTCTAGACGAGGTTACTTTGAAAGAAAATCCTTCTTTTGAAATTACCCTTAAACCTTAGCAACAGTACCAAAATTGCACTGCTTCTGATACCTGATGTGTTGTAGCTATTTCTCCCCCTCTCTTCCTGCCCATTCTCTCCATCTTCTGTATAACACTGATTCTTCTAAGACTCAGTCCAGAGGCACCTTCAAGACAGCAGAGTGCTTTGAGGTGATGGGCAGAGCTAAGGTGGCAGACAACAGCACAACTTGTACAATATATATTGAATAGATCTGTGTTGTATATTTGTTATTTTTCTGTTACTATAAACAGATATAAAAATAAATAATTTCACCATATAAATAAAAACTTTCCTAGATTCTGCAACATGTTTAGTATTTTGAAGGTATGCTACTTTGTATTTCATATTTCTGTATTTGGCTGTTTAGCTTTTGTGTTTTTATTTTACATCTTTTCTGCTATAACTATTTCAGTATAGTATAGTATCTATTTAAAAAATTAAAACCATATTCATTTTCCCCCAAAATAAAAAAGAAATCTGTCCTAACTACAGCTGAGCAAGAATTGAAAAGTTCATTTGAACTTCTACACCTTTCTGGAGTTTGAAATCCAGCAGTTCACAATCATTTCTAGTCCTTAAAAAAAAAAGGAAACTTAGTGCACATGTAAAACACTGCTTCCTTTATTATCATTTTTCTACTTATCTAGGGCTGAATTCTTAGACATGTTAGTTACACTCATCAACATACATTCCCACTTATCTGTTAGAATTGTAAACAGCATCCAATTATACTTACTAGTTACCCCTGCAGAACCCATTCACCTATTGAAAATGGAGATGGATTCCCCTGTGGTTCATGCATCACTTGCAGGATGAATGTTTAAGTTCCAATTAGAGGGTTGGTTTCTGTCTTCATTTTGTCTTGTGTTTTTTCATTAATGAAAAATCAAGATCACAGGTGTAACTGATAGCAGGTTTTGGCTTATAGAAACATAATTATTTGAGATACTGCAAGAGCCAGGAAGAACACACTTTCATTTGAAATTCGCAGCTGGAGTTGTAAAGGCTGGCAGTTTCAACAATTCTTTTATTTGTAAACTGAGTAAATTTGATCCCAAGAATTTGAAAGGCTACAAACACAGAACCTCATCCATTCATATTTTTACTTTTTACAATTTGATGCTGGCAAGATGTCAAATTGGAAAAAACAGTCAAAACATTTCTAGGATGATCTTTGTTTAGTAAACCAAATTGAATGTTAATATTGATACACAATGTTTGATATCTGATTAGTAGCATTAGAATTAGTGTGGAGGATTTAATGCACCCTCTTGTGTATGACCTTGCTAGGAACATAACAGTAGTTCCTGGAAGTACTGATGGGTTTGGGCTGAGAATGAACTATCAATCACTTTTGTGAATGCTGGTAAACAAAGAAACAAATACTCACATGAACAATTGCCATGAGCTACAGAGAAGCCTCTGTTATTTAACCTGCAAAGTCTTCAAGACAGGACCACATCCACATTTATAATGTTTTCTGTCAGACTTACAGAGGGACAGAATAGATGCAGAATCTAGTGAATCACAGCTTATTGTCCTTGGAGCCGCAAAGAGTCACAATTCAGCTGAATAATGCAGAACAAGTAGAAAGTGGACAATATTAGGAGAGAGAAATTACTGTGGTAGCCACTTTACAAAATGTTTGGAGATTCAATTATGCTGTAATAGGTAGGGATGTGAACGAGTAGTTGACTAGATGATTAACTGATAAACCTAGGCTTATTGGTTAATCTAGTCAACTACTTGCATTTCCTCCCCCACACCTTGCTGCCTCTGCCCAGGCTCACGGACAGAGGCTGTTGCTTCAAAAGCTGCTTGCTTCGGGGCAGCCTTCCTCCCCCTCTTCTCCCACAGCAGCCTCTGTTTGTGGGGAGCAAGGACCCCAACAGACAGGGACTGCTGCTACACCACACTGCTGCCTCTGTATCAGAGCCAAGGTAACATTAATCATTAATAGTGTCGTGAAATGTATGTACAATGACTATGTAAGGAGTTATG